AATAATCATGTGAGTAGAGAATTCACATTCATGTCCTTAATCCAAATAGCAAATAAAATTACAAAGAATAAAAATTGAATTTTCCAAAATATATACTTTAATACACCATAAACAATGTCATATTCTAATTCTATCTATGTCCCGATGTCACATGTCCTATCAGAGCAAAATCCCACATAGAAGCCTAAGCTCCATCGTCAACATCCTCAGCCTCATGCTGCTAATGGTCTCCTGTATATCAATCAAGAGAAACAACACAAAAGAACGGAGTGAAAAACATCTCACTCTGGCTCACGATGTAGGAACGCACACTGAATAACCAAACACAAACAATACAGTTACCTCATACATCAATCAACAAAAATAGTTTATCCAATCATCCAAGTCATACAAATAGTAATTTATTTAGATCTAAACAGACTTCATGCATGCATGTAGCGATTAGGTGAGTTAATAAACACTTGGATTATTTCATAATTTCTTATCTTTGAAGTTCTATATCTAAGTGTTAACTACAATTTGGTGTTCACCAACTAACAACACTCACGATCGTTCATTATCTGAAACCGAATTTGAGATGGTGAAACACATCATCAAAATTCCAGGGCTAGAAGATCTAAACCTCAAAGACTGTTGCATCTACAAGGTTCCTTACAATATCCGAGAGGTGAACAAGGATGCCTACACCCCTCAATGGATCTCAATAGGCCCAATTCACCTTTCCAAAGAGAAATTCAAGCCAATGCAAGAGCAAAAGAAAAGGTACTTCCACTACTTCTGGGAGCGAGTCTCAAACGAAGAAGCCATGAAGAACTACAAACTCTACCTCAAGACCGAAGAAGAAGAGATTCGCCAATGCTACGCAGAGAAATTCCCTGACTTGACCAAAGAGAAATTCGTGGACATGGTGCTGTTGGATGCTGTGTTCATCATGGAACTCTTGTTGAGAAACTGTAAGTGGAAATCGGAAAACAAAAGGCACGAGCAAGAGTTCCAGCCAACCAAGTCCTTTCGTCAGAGACACAGTGAGGATCCCATCGTTACGCAGCCCTGGCTCAGTAGGAACATCGCTAGGGACTTGATCCTTCTGGAGAATCAAATCCCTTTCTATGTCCTGCACAAACTCTATGAAGACGTTGTCCCTTGTCAATACAAGCAAGAAAAGCACACTGCAGGGTTTGTTGATCTTGCCATCGAGTACTTTGTTTTCTATGATACCCAAATGTCTTCTTCTGATAAAACCAAGAAACACTCTTCTGGCTCACCCAAGTCAAAGAGCGAAGATAGCTCTAGGGATCCAAAATATGTACACTTCACTGATCTGATGAGAGGCTCTTACCTTTCCCGTACTGAGCGAAAAAGTGATAATGCCCCTCATAATTTAAGAACTGCAACAAAGTTGAAGGACTCAGGAGTGAGCTTTGAGAAAGATGTGAAGAGAAAGTTACTAGACATAACCTTCGAGAAGAAGCGAATTCTGAGTTCATTTCTTTGCTTTGGTTGCTTGCCATGCCTGAACCACTTCAAGGCACGTTTCATAATCCCCCAGTTGAAGGTGGACCACACAACCGAATGCGTGTTGAGGAACCTCATTGCCTTGGAGCAGTGTCACTATCCCGAGAAGCCTTACATCTGCAACTACGTTTCTCTCATTGACTCTCTCATTCACACGCAGCATGATGTGGAGATGCTGGTTGAGAAGGAAGTGATCGTGCATGAGTTGGGGAGTGATAAGGAAGTGGCCACGCTTGTTAATGGTCTATGCAAACACGTTGTGACAAACTCAACGTGTTACTTTGAAACTTTAATTTATTGTATTTTATATTTATTATATATTTATTAATATAGATATAATAAAAAAAATATAATAAAAAGCATGGCGTTCTGGAACGGGCCGTTCTGGAACGGGCCGTTCTGAATTCAGAATGACCATATCTTTACCTTATATTGATGGGTTTAATGAACAAAATATAAAAACAAAAGCTCGACCAATCCAAATGAATGACAAATATTTGGAATATTGTAAGAAAGAAATTCAAGAATATTTAGAAAAAGGATTAATAAGTCCTTCAAAATCACCCTGGAGTTGTTCTGGATTTTATGTTATGAATGCCTCTGAATTAGAAAGAGGAGCTCCTAGATTAGTAATAAATTATAAACCTTTAAATAAGGTTTTAAAATGGATTAGATATTCTTTGCCCAATAAGCCAGATCTTATTAAAAGACTTCATATTGCAATAATATTTTCTAAATTTGATATGAAGTCTGGGTATTATCAAATTTATGTAAAAGAAGAAGATAGATACAAAACAGTTTTTGTTGTACCTTTCGGGCACTATGAGTGGAATGTAATGCCTCAAGGTCTCAAAAATGCTCCTAGTGAATTTCAAAATATTATGATTGATATTTTTTATAATTACATGGACTTTACTATAGTATACTTAGATGATGTATTAGTTTTTTCAAAATCAATAAATCAACACATAGAACACCTTAATAAATTTATAAATATTATTAAAGAAAATGGCTTAGTAGTATCTGCAAAAAAGATAAAAATCTTTCATACTAAAACTAGATTTTTAGGTTATGAAATTTTCCAAGGTACTATAACTCCTATACAAAGATCTTTAGAATTTGCTGATAAGTTTCCTAATAAGATAAAAGATAAAACCCAACTTCAAAGATTTTTAGGATGTGTTAATTATGTAGCAGATTTTATTCCTAATATTAGAATTATATGTGCTCCTTTATATTCAAGACTAAAAAAAAATCCAAGACCCTGGAATGATGAGATGAGTAAAATAGTAATAGAAATTAAAAAAATAGTTAAAAAAACTCTCATGTCTTGGTATCCCTAATCCCCAAGCCTCATTAATTGTAGAAATCGACGCTTCAGAATTAGGATATGGGGGTATTCTCAAACAAAACCTTTCTTCCAAAGAGCAAGTGGTCAGATATCATTCGAGTATTTGGCATCCTTCTCAACAAAAATATTCAACAGTCAAAAAAGAAATTCTTTCTATTGTCTTGTGTCTTCAAAAATTCCAGGATGATCTTTTTGATAAATTTTTTTTAATTAGAACTGATTGCAAAGCTGCCCCTAGTGTTCTTCAAAAAGATGTCAAAAATCTTGTTTCAAAGCATATTTTTGCAAGATGGCAAGCATTATTATCTTGTTTTGATTTTGAGATAGAACATATTAAGGGAGAGAAAAACACACTACCAGATTTCTTAACGAGAGAATTTTTGCAGGAAAATGAGCAAAAGCTTAAAAGACCAATACAGTTTTCCACTAAGAACCCCTAATCAGACATCAAGCAATACTGACAATAGGTCGTTGGCCCCTAATGCAACTAGAAGCAATACACCTCTCAGACTACAAAGACCAACCTTTTTAGCCACCATAAAAAAGGAACCTCAAACCATTTCATCCAACAAATATTCGCCATTATCTTTTCTAGAAAAATATCAAAGTCTCACTCCTACTACAATACCTACACCGTCCAAACAATTATCTCATATCACACCTCCAATATCTACTCCTTCCAGCTCAAAATCTTATGAAGAAGAATACATTACTAAAGATGAAAATATTGATATTCTACCAATAGAACGATTGGAAAAAATTAACTCCAAATACTTTAGCCTCCAGAATCTTTCTAGAAAATTACCATTACATTCCTACCTACAAATCCAGAATTTTTTATGAGTTTACTTTAATAGACACTAATTCTATAGAATTAACCCATACTAGAGATGATCAAGGCAAAATTCAATTTTCAAAAATAAAATTCTCCGAATCATTACCAATGTGGCGAAAGCATTGATCATCATATTGAAAATATCAGAGTTTACAAAAGAACACTTACAAAGAAAAGTTTGAAGAAGATAATGGCTCAAAGAGAATTTTATGGCAAACGATATTATACAAACTTTGTTTCTTAAAAACTCGATGATTACAATAGAGGAGAGCTTCTCCTTATATACACAATCCTAAAAACTAAAATTACATTAAAGGGTAATTGCATACCAATTATTGAAGGACAAAACAGGAAAGTAAATTAATTTACATGACTGAGACTTTAAAGATAAGGAATCTTAAAAGTCCTTTGTCGTTTTGTAGAGCTGGCGAATAACTTTCTTGAATGGTCGACCAAAAGTGACATTGATGGTTTTGTCTTGAAGCATTAGCAGAATAGACAGCTGTCTAGATGCGTCAGCAGGTAATTATTCTTATTCAATCAAACATATCTTCATTTTGAAGATATGGGCTTGTAGATATTGAGTCAGAAGAGCCTGTTTCTTCAGGCTGAGAATCATCTTGAAGGGCTCTAATTAATTTGAGTCTTGCTTCAAATTCTTCTTGTGAACTAGCCGAAGCTAATTTTGCCATAATCTTGCTTTTCTCGGCTAAGAACTTGTGTCCTCAACTATTTTCTTCTTTTGTTGACGCTGAATTAATGTGGGAGAGTTAATCCTTGCCCATTCTTGAATTCTTGATTTGCTGATTAAGTTTAAATCAAACTTTTTCACCATTTAACTTTAATGCTTCTTGATAGAATCCTTAATGGGATAGAATCATATGGTTGTCTGAAAATGTAATCCCATGTAACTATCCAGGTAATGTTTTGAGAGGCTACAAAAGTAATTAATTTATAGTTTGGTAAAAATGTTGTTACTTCTTTGAAATAATCATATTTTTGAGAGACTTCTTGAGGAAACAATTCTCTAATGGGTCCCCATTGGTAAAACCATTGAAGAAACCATTTTGGAAATTTTAATGAAATGCCTCGTCTAAACCAGAAAAACCATGAATGAGTCTTGGGCTGGAGGTACAACATGTAAGTCCAGGTTGTGGTATAATCGTAATAAGTGTAGGTTTGCGGATGAAACTGTCTTGAGAAAGATTTGGGTTGAAACAATGGCTGTCCCCATTCTTCGGGAGACATGATCTTGAGAATTTTGCTCTTGAAAATTGAATATTGTTATTCTTATCTCTTGAATGGAATAATTCTATGGAATCTGTATCAACCAAGATAAATTCATAGAAAATTCTTGATTGAAACAAATTTGGGTAATGCCAATATTTTGGGAAAATGGTTTCTAATAATTTTCAAGGCTAAATTCTTTCCACTCAGGCTCTATTGGTATAATATTTATTGATTGGTCTTTGGTTATATAAGTATCTTCATATGATCTTGAGTTTGATGGGGTTGGTACTGGAAGAGTATTGTGGGTAATGTTTTTGGAAGGTGTTTGGGATAATTGTCTTGAAGGTGATGGCATAGAACTAGGTTCAGGGCCTTGTTCTAGTGCGGCTATTAGATCAAATTTATTGTGGAATAATATGGGTGAGGTAGCTGCTTCTAAAAATGTTGAGGTACTAAGTGCTGTCTTACTATTGAGAGAGCTTGGTAACTTTCTTGCAGTACTCGGCGATGCTGATAATTTTCTTGAACTTTCAGGCTATGCCTGTTTAATTGTCTTGATGTTGAGAGAAGCCTTAAAAGGCGTCCCGTATTGGTCTTTTGAACTTTTGCTCATTTTCCTGTAAAAATTCTCTAGTTAAGTAAGCTGGTAAAGTATTTGTCTCTCCCTTAATATGCTCAATCTCAAAATTGAAACAGGATAATAATGCTTGCCATCTTGCAAAAATATGTTTTGAAACTAAGTTTTTAACATTTTTTTGTAAAACAGAAGGTGCAACTTTGCAATCAGTTCTAATCAAAAAAAATTTGTTAAACAAATCATCTTGAAATTTTTGAAGGCATAAAAAGATTGATAAAATTTCCTTTTAGACTGTTGAATACTTTTGTTGAGCTGGATGCCAAATACATGAATGATATCTGACAATTTGTTCTTTTGAGGTGGAGGAGACTTTTTTTTAATATTCCCCCTATCCTAAGTCTGACGCATCACTTTCGACAATAAGATATGCTGCAGGGTCAGGTATCCCTAAAGAGGATAATCTTTTGACTATTTGCTTAACTTTAATAATGACCTGAGTCATTTTCTCATCCCAAGGTTTTGGATTCATCCTGAGGCGTGCATAAAGTGGTGCACAAATAATCCTAATGTTAGGAATAAAGTCGGCTACATAAGACACAACCTAAAAATCTTTGAAGTGGGTCTTATCTCTTATTTCATTTGGGAATTTATCTGAAAATTCTATTGATCTTTGGATGGGAGTTATTGTTCCCTGATATATTTCATAACCTAAAAATATAATTTTTGTTTGAAATATTTTAATCTTCTTGGCAGATACAACTAATCCATTTTCTTTTATTAAATTAATAAATATGTGTAAATGATCTATGTGTTATTTAATAGAGTTTGAAAATATTAATATATCATCTAAATAAACTAATGCAAATTTCATATAAGGATAAAATATATCATTCATAATGTTTTGATATTCTGATGGAGCGTTTTTCAATCCAAATGGCATTACATTCCATTCATAATGACCAAAAGGAACATTAAAAGCAGTTCTATATTTATCTTCCTCTCTTACCCCAATTTGATAATAACCTGATTTCATATCAAATTTAGAAAATATTGTAGCATGAGTTAATATTTTAATAAGATCTTGCTTATTGGGTAAAGAATGTGACACCCTTACTATCCCAACACATATATTGTAATAATGAAAACTTACAAATAAATTTTTTAATTTCGGTAAAAGGGTTCACATGAGAATCTTGAAAATCATTCTTCAATAACCACAATAATTAAAATGAAACGCAGGAGTTTACAAATTATTTTCAAAAATAATAATTACAATTCAAAATCCATATAAAAATCTATGTCCTAAAAATCCTCTACCCCGATGTCACAATATCAAAGCATACCCACAATTCCACTATTGGCATTCTAGATGCCACTCGAAGCCGGATCTTCCTCACCTAAAACATCCACAATTTATACGGTGAGAAAAGAAAATACCTATATGCAAAACACATACAAACACACCACAAATGTAATCTCATCAAAACTCGTTGCTTAATAAAATATTTACAAGCATTCATATATATATATATATATATATATCATAATTTATTAATCATTCCTCATCTTCACATCTCAATTCACAATTACATCAATCCATCACAATCCACATAAATCTTACAATTAACACTATGTCAAGACCACGCCACAACTAACACAAGTGATACGGGTTAATTGCCTCACTCATCCCACACCATGCCAGGGGCACGCTCGTCCTTGTAGCATCACTTACCCTAGATTCGTCTCATCCCTGGTCATTAGTGTGAGGAACCACAATCACATCACAATCCACACAATCTCTTGCAATTAACCCTATGTCAGGGCTGCCATATTTAACATAAGTGATGCGTTTTAATTGTCTCACTCATCCCACACCATGCCAGGGGCATGCTCGTCCTTGAAACATCACTACTCAAGGTTCGTCTCATCCCTGGTCATTAGTGTGGGGAACCACAATCACAATCATATTTACATTCCATACAACATCTCATCTCATATCTCAATTCTATATTACATACACAATTCCATATCACATACACAACAGATAAGTCCAACAAAATAAGGGTTTACACACCCTTCGAGCAATTCACATCTAGATCATAAATTCTTATGAAATAATATACCAATAACATTCATAAATTAATATAATAATCAATATTTAGCATAAACAGTAAAACCCCCCAATTATTCCAAAACCTAACTCACAGGCACTTTTCTACAATTTCGTTCTCCCTCTCAGATCATCATTCTTACAAATTAAATATATATTTCTAATCCTCAACACATGCAGAATCTAATGGGATCATCAATTTCTCAAATAGAAATAATCTAATTTTCCCAAAACCTAGCTTATAGGAACTTTTCTATAATTTCGTTCTTTCTCCCAAATCATCATTTTTACAAATTAAATATATATTCATAGTCCTAAATATATACAGAATCACATAAGACAAATAATTCTTCAAACAGAAATAATTATAAAATTACTCATAATTCTACGGGCTCTTCCTCTACCCGATTCCCTCATGTAACTCTACATATAAATAATCTCATTTTCGCCCGTACCTGGATATGTAGAAGCTGAATTTATACGAGATCTGGTTGGTCTCCCTCGCTGGGTTCCCCTCGGTCTGAAGCAGAAAGAAGAGGGAAAAGAAAAGAGAGCAGAAGAAAAGAAATCAGAAAATGAGAGGTGTGCTTTTTGGGAGTGACAGAGAGCTCAATTTATAGGTCTCAGGCTTCGCCGGAACGACCCGTTCCAAATTCGGAACGGCCCGTTCTGGACCCTTAAATCATGGGTAAAAATCACACCCAGAACGACCCGTTCTCAAACCAGAACGGCCTGTTCTGGTTGCATTTATTACTCATAACTGCCTTAGCCCATTCCAAGCCCGTTCCCACTTAGAGTTAAAGGCATTTTTTAATAGTCCATAACGGCCCGTTCCAACTTGAGAACGACCCGTTCTAGGCAACGAACTCGCATATATTTTGGTAGTTTGGAACAGCCCGTTCCAAGCTACTAAATCACATACCGTTTGGTAGTTTGGAACGGCCCGTTCCAATTCCAGAACAGCCCGTTCCAAGCTACTAAATTACCCCTATACCTTTATAAAATTACCAAATTACCCTTAATTAAAATAAATAAATAAAAGTGAAATAAAAACTGGGGTGTTACATAGGATATCTAATCCATTTTAATACTTTATTAAGAGGTTTATAATTAATAACTAATCTTGGAGCTCCTCTTTCGAATTCTGCTGCATTTAATACATAAAAGGCAGAACAACTCCAAGGGGATTTTTACAGTCTAATAAATCCTTTTTCTAAATATTCTTGGATTTCTTTTTTGCAATATTCTAAGTATTGTGAATTCATTTGAATAGGTCTTGCTTTTGTATTAATATTCTTTTCATAAAAGTTTTCTATGTATGGTAAAGATACTTCATATTTTTTGCGATGCCAAAATGCTATTGGATTTAATTCACAATTTTTTTTTCAATTTTATTATTAATAGTCTTAATAGTTTCTTGAATATTTGTACTTTGTAACTGTTCTTCTATTCTCTTATATTGAATTTCTTTAGATAAGAAGTTAATATGTTTGCGTTTACTTTCTATAATACTTGTTGCATTTTCTTTTAAAATATTTAATTCTCTTGTTTTTGGTGGATGTATAAATTCGAAACATAATGTATTTCCTAGGACTTGAGTTTCTAATCCTTTTGATGTAACTTTAAAGGGATATAATAATGATAGAAATGGGGTTCCTAATATACAAGAAATATTCATATGTTTAACTAATACAAAAGAGGTTTCGTAACAGATTTTGTTTTTACAGATTTTTGCAGAAGTAATTAATTTTCATGTGAGAGATATTGGCGCTTAAAACCTTTTCGGTGGTTTTTTCATAATATTTGGAAGGAATGATTGCTTCTTGTATACAGTTATGTCTGCTCTTGAATCTATTAATGCAATTATATTGAATTCTTCGTTTTTTATTAATAATTTAATGTTACAATGCCATTTATGAGTTGTAATTAAATTTAAATAATTAATATCTTCTTGTGTTGAACTGGAAGGCTTATCAATATTGAGATTTTGTTGTTCTCTAATTTTTTCTTCCCCTTCTAATTCTAATAATCTATATTCTATAGAAATATTGTCTTTTTTTAAATTAGTTATTTCTATTTTTAATGTTTTAATTTCGTCTTGTAGGTCTTTAATAGTAATAGGAGAAGGTTGCCTAAATCTTGAATAAATTTCTTTTAAATCTATTTCTTTAATTTCTTCTTGTTCTTTTTCATCTTTCTTTAATAATTCTTCTAATTTATTGATAAATTCTGTTCTAATAGGTCCATGTTCTAACTGAGATATTAATTCTATTAAGGCATGTGTTTGATCTATTGTTAGCATATTAATTGTTTTGTAATCATTACAGGTACAAAGACCTGGTCCTAAAAAACAATCATCTTCTTGAGATTGACTTGAACTAGAATCTTCTTCTAATTGATAAACTATTTCAGTATTGTTTTCCTCATCAGAAGTAGAATCATCTTCTTCTGATTCAGAATTAATCATTATTGCTATTAAGGTTTTCTTTAATGACTCATCTATTTCTAATTCATTAATTTTTTGTTGAGTTTTGCATTTATTAGCAAAATGTCCTGTTTTTCCACATTTCCAGCAAGTAATATTTCTCTTTGTGGATTTTGTTTTGTTAAAAGCTTTGGGTTTTTCAGAATAATCTTTGTTTTTCTTGAAGGATTTTTTATAGGATTTTTATAATTATTATAAGATTTTTTATAAGGTTTTTGAAATGAAACTTGTTTTCTTTGAGCTTTTCTTTTGATAGCACTAGGTGCCCTAATAGGTTCTACTCCGTATTGTTCACAGAAATTTCCTATTTCTCTTTTATTGGTTCCTGCTTCCTTTCTAAGTTTGTTTTGAAGTTTAAAGTCATTACAAACTTGTATTCCAGTGTCAATAATTATACTATGGATTTGTCCGTAGGTAAGAGTATTGAAAGGTATTGGTTTTCCAAAATGAC